TAATCTCAACCCCCAGAACTATCCCAGCCTTAAGGAAGATGGTCCTGAGAAAGGAGATCATGGAGAAGTCAAAGAAAGGAAATCAATTGAGCAGGTTTCCAGCTTATTCAACCCAGGAAAAGTGGAGAACCTTTCTGAGCTCATACACAGCATTGTTAAGGCCACGTACTAGGAAAGGAGGGCTTCTGGGTGAGACCCTACCCTCATCCCAAGGTGCTGCTTTGGCCCATGCACAGGATGGAAGGTCCATCACACCTCCCTGCCACAGATGCGGGTGGCCACTCCATGGAGCCCCTTGACCAGCAATAAGACCTCCTGGACCTCCTAAGAGCCCCATCTACACCCAACTGGGCATGGCATCCATGTTCTCCAGGGGAGGGATACATTGCCTCCAATTGTTTTTTAACTATTTTGACAGGAAGGCCTCCTTATGAGAGGTCCCCAAAAGCCAGGCTTTCTGCTTTCTAACTGCAAGGTCAACGGTTCAAATCCACCAGCCAATCCATGGGAGAAAGATGAGGCTGTTGCTCCCATAAAGAATAACCACCGAGGAAACCCTATATAGAGTCAATCTGAGTTGGAATCGACTCAACGCAGTAGGGTTTACTTATGGGGTCATTCTTGCCTTCCATGAAGGTCTGATTTCCAGCCAATGTACCTCAAGAACAGCCACCTTTCATCAGTGACGTCTTGCATGCTGCTATGACACTGAACAGGTTTTAGCAGTTCCTCCAGACTTAAAAGGACCAGGAAGAGCGGTCTGATGATCTGCTTCCAAAATGCAGCCAGTGGAAACCCTATAAACCACAATCTTCTGAAATGCACCTAATCATGGGGGTGGTATAGGACCAAGCAGTGTTTAGATCACTTCTTTATGGGGTCTCCATGAGTTGGGGGCCAATTCAACAATAGCTAACAACACAGAGTACTTACTCCGTGCCAGGTGCTAGTGTAAATGCTCAAATCCTGCTTGTGGGATTGCATTGAACAAACAAGACACTCCTTGATTGCCTCTCTATTGTTCCCCTGGGGAAAACTGGTGCACTGGACTCTAGGATGGAGACCAGATGCCTCAGCCTCTGGAGAAGAGAGACTTTCTGAAGCAAGCCTTCTCCTCCCCCCCTCCCCATTTAGGTGTCCTTACTTGTGGAGACATTGCTGGTGGGATTACAGAATTGTGTAACCACTCAAGAAAGCAGTATGTCACTTCTTTAAAAAATTTTGAGTATGAATACCATATGATTCTGCCATCTCTGATAAGTATGCACCCTAAAGAAATCAAAACCAACATATGATCAGATATACACACACTCGTTAGTTGCAGCACTATCTACAACAGCCAAAGACGGAAACAACTGAAAAGCCTGTCTGTGGAGGAATGGATAAACAAACTCTGGTGTGGCCACACAATAGAATTTTTTTTAACAGTGCCGCCTGGGTTTATTTGTACAACCAACAACACAAGAAGACACCAGCGCCATGCAGGCAGCAGCCCAGGGCTCACACCAGTCCCTCTCGCCCTCACACAGAGAACTCTGCTTTGTGGGAGTCTGAGCACCTTTGGGAGCTTGAGCTGGGGCTGGGGCGCCTTTGGGAACTTTTGCTGGAGTCGTGGCCTTGGCTGGAGCGTCAGCCTTGCTTTGTGCCTTGGCCTTGGGCCGGCAGAGCCTCAGACCCTTGGCAATACGTGCCTGAGCTCGCTTGCCAAGCTTGGGGTGGGCCATGTAGGCCAGTCGGCTGAGCTTGCGGTTGATGCCCATTGGGATCTTGGCCTTGACCTTGGTGGGCTTCACAAGATCCTTGGTGGCCTCAGCGCAAGCAGTCGCAGCCTTGGCGTTGTTGGCCTGCAGTTTCTTCAGGCCCTTCTTGCTGTGCTTCTTGGCGAAGCACATGTTCCTCAGGAACTTGGGGTCCACCCCCTTAAGAGATTCGTATTGTTGTGACCAGGGTTTTTTGATGCTGTTTCTGTGCCATTTCCGGGATTGGTTGTGCATGGTGTGGTTCTTGGACTTGGCCATGTCTGCACCGACACCTGCAGCTCCTGGAGCGCCAGGGACTGGAAGAGAGAGCCACACAATAGAATATTATACGTGTCTAAAAAACAATAATGATGCCATCAAACACTTCATGGATGAATTTGAAACACTATGCTCAGCAAAGTCAATCAATCTCATAAAGACAAATATTACATGACACCGCTGTTATCTAAGAAACATGGCTTTAACACCATATGAAGCAGACTTTGAAGGCTATGTTGGGGGATGGGGGCAAAGATGGGGAGGGACAGAGGGAAGGGCATGGGGGAGATAGGCCTGCATATACAGGGGCTTATTGGGGGTATACAGATATTGTCCTGATGAGCTGGGTGGTACAACAACTAAAAATAAATAAATAAACTCTATTGAAATGTTAATTTCAATAAAATAAAATTCATTCTAAAAATACATATGCAGCATAAACATTTTTCTCATCTATAAGATATGTTGATTGATTTCTTTCCAAGTCTCTGGCTGACAGATTGAGAGCATGACCCTTGTGGCAGGTAGACCAAGCACTCAGGACTTTGTCTGAGCAGCAGCTATTCAACAGTGCACACCTGATTCTTGGCTCCTCATTAGCTCACCCACCTCCAAGTCACTGGGAAGGCAGGGAAGAGGTGTGCACCAGGCTCCTACCCTAGGCTCCGTGACCCACTTCCTCATGAAGCTTTCTGTGTTTTAAATGGACACTACCGCTCCTGCCCCTCCTTAAACACGCTCTCGGTCCCAGCTTTGGGGTCTCTGACGTCTCCAAATGGATTTTCAGCTGTGTCACCGGGTTCTGTGACCAGAACTTTATTTTCTGAGAACTTGAGCTCCACTCGCGTTTCATCCGGCCTCTGAATGCCCTGCCTTGCTCCAGCACCACTTTGGAGTGGGCTGTAAGTGGAGAGTGGACGAGAAACAAGGGAGAGACGGAGAAGCAACAGCCCTCTTAAGAATCCAGCCTGCACCCAACTGGGGGTGGCCTCTGGGTTCTCCAGGGGAGGAAGAAGAAAAGAGACAAGCATGAGAACACAGAAGACTAGCAAAGAGAAAAGAGGAGGGATATTGGAAAGATTAAGAGGTAGTGAAAGGAGGAAGTAGGGCATAGGAAGTAGTCCTGGTGACGTCGTAGTTAACCAGAAAGGCAACAATTTGAACTCACCAACCACACAGTAGGAGAAAGCTGTGTGCTACTTCTGTAACGATGAACAGCCTTGGAAAGCCTGGGAGGCCGTTCTACTCGGTCCTCTTCATGCGTCTTCGTGTGTCAGCCTCACCAGCAACAAGCTAGGGGGCAGAAAGGAGGAAGTGCAGGGCGAGTGTGCGCTCAGGACATCCAGCACAGAACGGGGCGAAAAACCAAAGGAAAACCTGGATTAGAGAACGAGCATAGGGAGTACACTGCCATAGATCATTTTTGTTTTGTTTTTTAACGCGTTTACTGTGAATTAAGTGCAGGTTTACAGAGCAGATTCTCGGTTCACATTCAACAATTCACACACATTCTGGTCCAACTCACCCCTACAATGCCCTCAATGGATCGGGGCCTGTCCCACTTCCTCCCTGTGCTCCCTGTTCCCATTCCTCCTCTACTAACCCTGAACTTTGTCCTTGGGTCAATGCTGCCCTTTTGTTGCTTAAATGATTGATTCTCTAACAGGGAAGTGAGTTTGGTTCCAGACCTGAAGTGTAAGGGCCATAATCTTAAATAAACTTGGTGGGGGGGTCCCACCAATCTCTGTCCAACCAGTAAGCCTGGTCTCTTTTATCAAAGTTCCCTAAGGGGATCCTGTTACAAGTAGTTGGTGGTGGTAGCCAGGAACCACCTGGTTTTTCTTGTCTCAAAGTTATGGAGACTGATATTTTCATGGTCCATTAGTCTATTGGAATAATTGTCCCAATATTTCTTGATTTTCATCATTCTTCTTACCTCAATAATTGCACCTTACATGGCTGCTCCGAAACTTTCAAGATCCCAATCTAATTAGGACCAGTCACCAAATTAGGACATAGAATACTTTCTTTGTAAGCTGTGTCATGCCAATGGACTTTGGTGTCCCCTCACATTATGCTCCTAATCCTCTAGACCCAGTAACTTGCTCCCTCAAGGTATTTGGTTATGCAGTGGATCATTTTTATGTGGCCTTTCCTATCATAGTCCTGTAATTTCTGGGTGGGACTAATACAATGATGTTTTGGTAGCCCTCCAAGGGGATTGGACAGCTAGCTACTAATGAATATAAGGTTCGTGATACCTCTCTGGGGGTGACAGCAAATAAATAAGGCGTATGGAATCCTAACAAGGGGACTGATCAGTTTGGCCATCCTACTAAGCTAAAAATGAGGCATTCCAGAGGTGGAAAGGAAAGGGCCTCATTGCACCAAGAAGAGCTGGGTGTGGAATGCATCGTTTGGACCCAGCCTCCCTGACTGCAAACCCCCAGGCCTAGGAGACAGAGAGGTGTGGCACTAGAGGCTGTGCAAGATGGCTAGAGGCAGGAGAAGCAGTAGCAGTGATCTGATGGTAGCAGAAACAAGAGCTCAGCGTGAGATGACGCAAGGGGCTTTCCAGTCCTCGCGGAGGCTCTAGCAGGTGTGCTGACGCGGAATGAGAGTGTTGAGTGCCTTCAGGTTAAGGATTACTGGCAGAATGAAATGCCGCCAGGCACTTTTGGTAGAGCTAAAGAGCTACAGCACTAAGCTAAACTATAGCATGTAACACTTGCCCAACAGGGTAAAGGCTGGGCTAAGCACAAGGGGCTGAGAGCCTGAGGATCATGACATCAAAGGTCAAGTAGAGGCCTGCCTTGGGGATGGCTGTCAAATTGTCCTGATCAAAGAACTGTGTTCTGATTCATTTCTGATCCTATGTTGCGATGGCTGCTTCCCAAGTCAATGCCATAACTTTGAGTGTGGTCTATAAGTACCGAGTAGCCATGGCCAAGGATTATCACAGCAGAGAATGAGAGAGTTCTGTGAGAAGAAGGCTGGTATTGCAACTCATGAAAAAGTTGAAGAGAGGAGGTATATCTGACCTCCATTTCCTAGGAATCAGCCTTGGGCTGAGACTGATGGAGATTTTCCCCCTGCCTTGTGAGGTTAGAGGAGGGCAGATGTCCCTGCCTCACCATTTTTACAGAGAGGGAGATGCAATCACAAAAATCTGCACTCGTCCCGGGCTAATAGTGCTCAAATTTTAGTGTGAATAAAAACCCCATGAGCTGCTTCTTACAATATAGATCCCCAGTTGCTATTCCAGCATTCTGATTCCTTAGGTCTGGACAGGGTTCTGGAAATCTAAAGTTTTTAACAAGCAGCCTAATAATTTCTGATGTAAAGGTTAGCAGGAGAAGAGAATACTCTTAAAAAGTATGTCCTGGCTTGTTAGGAGAACATGTTGCAAATCAAAGTCTAAGGTTCCAAGTTCTATGAACTTGAAATTTTAAATGTCTAACTTTGAGACTCAACTTCCTTGAGCCAGGCATACAAAAACAGGCTCTAGTAATTGCCTGGCTGCTCTCCAGGTGCCTGGAGATCAACGGAAGCTCTCTGAAGGACATCTGTGGTGTGGAACATTAGGCGAGTCCCTCGGAGGGCCCTTTCATCTACAAGAACTTCTCAATTCTCCTGGAGGAGTCCTGGAAGGTACAAGCACTTGGATGCTATCCAGGAAGTTGGAATTTCAAGTCTAGTCAGTCAGGACTCAGAAAAAAAAAAAAGATCTGTCAATCTGCTTACAGAAATTGGATGTTGAAAATCCTGTAGAACATAGTTCGTGTCTCACACTCACATGGTCACTGTGAACTGGAAGCAACTCTGTAATAGGACTGGCTATTACAGCTCTCTGCTGGAATACCTGCACATGGCCTCTTCCTGTGGCTTCTTCAGCCTAAGAAAATGAGATAAGGAGCTGTCACAACACTCAATCTGGCCCCACTTCTGATGTGGTCACAAATCTGCTCAAAGCCAAGAAAACGGACCCTGTCTTTCAATGGGAGAAGTGTCAAAACTCATGTTGTAAATGGACAGGAAATATTACTGTGGCCCTCTTTCATCCTTCCAATTCAACCTTCTTCATGCCCCACCTGACTCTTCTGAAAAATATGTTCATCCACTCCAAGATCCAAATTCCACCCCATCATGACATGAATTCCAGCCATCTAGATCCGAATGTGTGTGGATTCCTCAAATGTAGTTTCTCAGATGATGTGGTAGTTACATAATCTGGTGTCAACTTTATAGTTAATAGTGAAGAGGTGGAGTTTAGCCTGTCAATCAGGTCGCAGCTAGATGACCTCATTTTGGAGGTGCTATGGAGTTAAATAGCTTGCTGGGGGTAGGACAAATAGACACTCCCTGTGAAACATTCCTGTTGACAAGCCACACAAAGCTAGGCTGATGGCAGCCAGAGCCTTGGAGCTGGAGGAGCCACGTGGAGACCCACCACTCCCCACCCCACCCCCCGCCACCAGTACTAAGAGGCTTCCATCGCCACTGGATCCACAAGACTTTCTACCCACTGGCCTGTGATCTTCCTGCACTTGGCATCATTGCATGTGTTGTGTAACTCTGAAGAGGAATTTATAAACTGGTATCAGACACATGGGATAATATCTGACTTATGGAGTTGATCTGGACTTAACTGGGATGTTTTCTTAATATGCAATTGTATTTTTATATAAAGCTCTTTCTTATACACATACGAGTGACTATGAATTTGTTCCTCTAGTCTACCCGGACTAACACAGATGACATTCCTCACAATCTAAACACCAGTGAAGGAAAGACAATGGCATCCACTTGCACCCCAAGCGACAATGGTTCAACTGAATGACTGCAGACATCCTATTTTTTAAAAAGCAGAAGGGCAAAGTGGCATGGAGCAAGCCCAATAATCCAGCTGGGCACATGTTGCCAGTTTTGATTGGAGTTCAGACTGGTTGCTTGTTCTCTGGCTTCTGGCTTGCCCTCCAGGTTCTTAGTTCTGCACTCTG